ATTTGAGCTGAGTAGGAGTTTCCTATTGACATCAGGAGGAGTAGGCTTGGCTTTACATTAATAGATTTATTTTTAGAAATTTGTAAATTATGGAGTCTGGGTGACACTGCTTTTGACTATAGAGTACAACCACCTGAGCCTGCTTTGAATTGTCTCGACCAGGCTATTCAAGGCACTTTTCTCCCAGAGTTCAAGTTTTCTGCCAACCCTTGGGTAAGGACTCAAACTCAAATTTGAAACTATTTGGCATAGAATGGAAAAGTTCTAGTACTCAGCGTGCACAAATATATTTATATTTATATTTATATTGATGTTTCCTGGGAGTGTTTCCATGGAAGCAACATCCAATTTCACATTCACAAGATATATATAGTAGCCCAATGTCTGTGACTCTGTAATGCTAAAATGCTAGCTGTTCTTTCTGGGCGGCACTGTTGCCTGAGTGACATCCTTCGCCTCCTGCTGTGGTGCTCGGCTGACTTCTGTGCTGCGCAGACAGGCCTCTGTGGGGGAGCCCAAATGGCCTCTTGCTCTGCTTGCTCCCCTGTGGCGGCCCGGCTGAGCGGCGCAGAAGTCAGCTGAGTGCCATGAAGGGAGGCGAAGGAGGGAGGGGAGGAGACATACATGGCCAGGGGGCGGGGCCTGGATAAGCGTGCATCCCTGACAGAGACAGAGGAGAGCAGAGAGAGAGTAAGAGGCAGGAAGGGGAAAAGAGAAAGAGAGAGATGGAGCGAAGAGAGAGTGAGAGGCAGGAGGAGGAGGAGAGAGAAAAAGACACCGAGCAAGAGACTGGAGGCTCAGGAGAGAAGACTGATGTGGAGGAGAGACCTGAAAATCCCGTCTTATGATGGGCTAATCAGCTAATTATATATATATATATATATATATTGTATTTAGAAGCAAGTGCTCAGATTAGTATGAATAGATCATCCCCACAATTATCTTTCTTTAAATTCCCGATTAAATAATGCCTTAGACTATGAAAGTCCAAATATTAGCCCATACAATTTATGTGATATTTACTATAGGCATATAAATAAGGGTTCATAACATGATACAATTACAATTATATAACTATTATTTTAAATCATAGCCTAGAACATCAACCCAAAAGTAGAAACTATCCCCCCCAAATCTCCTGCAACATATGCATGTACTGTAGAATGTTACTTCGGACAGTTTCCTACACAAATTAGGTCATCACAGCTCCATACAGTAACACATCCTGACATTCTTTGTGTCTGTGCATGCACATGCACTGCTGCTCATCAGAGGATAATAACATAAGGCAGACTTACTTAGTTAATAGCATAATGTAATTTTGATGTACAGCTCCAAGTTGTGAAAAGCTCATGACCCTGGTATCAGAATGAAATGTATGCAAATTAATTTTAGCATTTGAGCCAAGTGATCAAAATTTTACATCTTTCCAAATATACTAGAACTGGCAGGGAATGGCATTTCTCTTCATCCAAACAAAGTTATTTTGTATCATGCAGAAAAAAAGACATTTTCCAAAGGAAATTAGAGCAATAATTTTAACTTACCAGATTTTCAAATTCCTCAATTGTTTTCCTTTTGTGATATTAGCATGAAACAAGAACCATTTAAAATTATATCCGAGTTAACATTTGAATTTCAAAAAAAGTGTACTACTTCAACCTATGGAAATGATTTCCTGATAGAACCTCTCTTAGGCAGCTAGTGAAGTTTTATTTCAGGAAAAAAAAGCCCAATGTGCCATGGAATCATCCAGTTGGATTATAAATGTATTCTTAAATGGCAACTCTGTCATTTTCTTGCAACTTTGCAAACCACAAGTATTTGTAATTTGCTTTGGGAGCTTATTTCTTGAGTCAGACTCTGCAGTGTAGTGTACATTTAATTGTAAAGGGAGGTTTTTTACAGCTCTCTGAAATACCATATAAATATTGTTGCATAAAAAAGCCTCCGCCTGAGCTTAGTTGATTTTACACATGCCTTTTTTGAAAAAACACTAACTGTAAGGTCTAAGGTTTTAAACTGCAACACATTGTAATCTTCGTCAAACTTTGTAACTCTCAGTAACTGTACTTTATGGCTACATCTACACTGGCCCTTTTTCCGGAAGGGGCATGTTAATTTCAGCTATCGTAATAGGGAAATCCGCGGGGGATTTAAATATCCCCCGCGGCATTTAAATAAAAATGTCCGCCGCTTTTTTCCGGCTTTTAGAAAAGCCGGAAAAGAGCGTCTACACTGGCCCCAATCCAGCCCGATCCTCCGAAAAAAAGCCCTTTTCCGGAGGATGTTATTCCTACCCTGTAGTCTAGACACACCCAAAGAGTTAGCTGTTTGCTCAAGATGGTACAAGTGTAGGAATGCTCTGTTGACTGTCAACAAGTTCTGGGACAGGACCCAAGGCCATGCACCTGGTATGGGAGTGCAGGGGGCTTGGGAAGATCAAATAGCTATCTTTGCTGTATGTTTCCCACCTGATAATGCTAATTATTTGGCCTGGGAAAATATGCAAAGTATCAACAAGCTAATTATTGGATGTGAGAAAATATGTACCAATGATCTTGTTAGGTTCTCAAAACAATAGGGCACATTACTATAGATCCAACAGTATATAAGTGCCGGGGATATTCCTAACATTGGAACCTTGGCGTAGAAAAATTTACTTTAAGCTTCAACTTTGTAACCTTTGTAACTCTCAGCCACTTTGTAACTTGTTCTAAACTGCATTCTCCCCTGAGTGATGGAGAAAGAGAGAGTGTGACTGTGAGTGTGTGTTAGGAATTACAAGGCTGGAGCACATGGTGATGACTCATAAGAGACTGCTGCTTTGCTGGATAAAGGGAAGTCTGGGCATGCTCCCTGGTGATGAGGTGGATGAGTCACAGGGACCATTCAGACACAATATAAGGAGAGGGAGCGCATGTGAGACTCTCTCTTTCCCCCTGCTCCTGAGAAGCTCCCCTTTCTACCACCACTGTCTTACCTGACCAGCTCCCCAGCCATGATGGGCAGACAGACCCTCCAGGATCTACAGGCGTTGGCTCCTTCTGCAACCCATATGCCTGTGTAAGTGTGTGAGTGCCTGAGGGCAGGAATGAATATGTGTGAATGAGTGAATGAATGGAAGAGTGTGTGTGTGAGAGAGAGATAGCTCTATCCCTTTTAGATTAAACCTTTGGTAGCACCTCTATCCTCTTTAGTTTTAACCTTTGGTGGCAGCTCTATTTTTGTAGTGCATATAGTGGAGTGCTAATTCCTCAAACAATTAACCCTGGGTGGTCCCCAGCGGGAATTTTTTGAGGTACCAAATATAACCAGATATTGGAATTTAAGAAGCTGTTATACAATATGGAAATAATGGGCACTACTCTGGGTCACAGTTACCAGAAAGTCTGTGTCAGTCACTGCACAGCTCTTTGCCAAAAAAAGGTAAAATGACTTGATTGACTGAATTCTGTGTGGAGAGATGCCCATAGAACAACAAGAAAATCACATCAAAATTGTCACCAATGGGCCATCTTGTTGGCAGGATCATCAGAGAACTGAAGGATTAGGGAGGCCTGGAGACTAGCTTGTTCTTCCACCTCAGAAAAGGTTGCACATTGCTCATAGAATCATATAAGTTCAGGAGGTCATGTAGTTCTACCCCCTGCTCAAAGCAGGAGCAATCTCAACTAAATCATTCCAAATAGGACTTTGTGAACTTTCTTAGGTAAACCATTGAAGTATTTCACCACCTTCCTAGTGAAAAAGTTGTTCATAATATCTAACCCAGATCTCCCACACTGCAGCTTAAGACCATCGCTTCTTGTTCTGTCAGCTGCCACTACTGAAAATCACCTGGCTCCATCATCTATGGAACCCTTCTATCAGATAGTTGAAGGCTACTATCAAATCCCCCTTCTCTTCTTAAGACTAAATGAGCCCAATTCCCTCAGCCTCTCCTTAGAAGTTATGTGCTCCAGCACCCTAATCATTTACATTGTCCTCCGCTGGACTCTCTCCAATTTGTCCAAATCCTATCTGTAGTAGGGAGGGAAGGGCAAAACTGGATGCAGTTCTCCAGATGTGGCCTCACCAATGCTAAATACAGTGGAATGATAACTTCCCTTGATCTGCAAGCAATGTTCCTACTAATGAAGCCCAATATGCCATTAGCCTTCTTGGCAACAAGGACAGTGTTGAATCATATTTAGCTTCTCATCTATTGTAATCCTCATGTCCTTTTCTGCATGACTGCTGCCTAGCCAGTCAGTTCCCAGCCTGTAGCAGTGCCTGGGATTCTTCTGTCCTAAGTGTTGGACTCTGCACTTGTCCTTGTTGAATCTCATTAGATTTCTTATGGCCCAATCCTCCAATTTGTTTAGGTCATTCTGGACCCCAGCCTAGTATCATTCGTGAACTTGATGAGGGTGATTGCAATAAAAGAATCTCATGGACCAATTGGCAAAGCAGCAGTTCTGCACAGAATGACCTGGACATTACACCAGATGAGAAGCTGGATATGACTCACAGTGCCCTTGTAGCCAAGAAGACTAATGGCATATTGGATTGCATTAGTAGGAGCATTGCTAGCAAATCAAGAGATTGTTGAAGCCACATCTGAAGTACTGCATCTGGTTTGGGGACCCTACTACAGAAAGGATGTGGATAAATTGGAGAGAATCCAGGGAAGTGTAAACGAACACTCATCTAGATCATTAATGAAGATGTTGAACAAAACCAGCACCAGGAGTGACCCCTGGAGTACTCTGCTTGATACAGCTTTCCTAGCTTAGAGTCCATTGTTCTAGACCATATTGTTTAATTTGCCAGAAAAGAATACTATCAAAATATGTACTTTATTAATGTCAACAATATATCACATTCACCACTGTTCCCATACCCACAGATCCGGTTGTATCATCATCTCCATATCCACGGAAGACAATCAGGTTTGTCAGGCATGACTTGCCCTTGGTGAATCCATGTTGACTATTTCTGATCACTTTCCCCTCTTCCAAATGCTTCAAAATTGATTCCTTGGGTATCCTCTCCATGATTTTTCCAGGGATTGAGATGAGGCTGACTAGTTTATAGTTCTCTGGAGCTCCTTTTCTTCCTCGTCTTGAAGACGGGCACCGTATTTGCCTTTTTTTAGTTGTCTGGGATCTCCCCCAATCACCAAGAGTTTTCAAAGACAATGGCCAATAGCTCTGCAATTACATCAGCCAACTCTCTCAGCACCCTCGGATGCATTAGATCTAGCCCATATTCTTGTGCATGTCCAGTTTTTCTAAATAGAACTTAATCTCTTCTTTCACTATCGAGAGATGCTCACTTCCTCCCCATACTACCCCATGTAGCAGTTTGGGAGCTAACTTTGTAAAGATCGAGGCAAAAAAGCATTGACCATGTCAGCTTTTTTCACATTATCTGTCATTAGGTTACCTTTCCCATTCAGTAAGGGTCCCACACTTTGCTTAACTTCCTTCTTGTTGCTAACATGCCTATAGAAACCTTTCTTGTTATCCTTCACATCCCTTATAAGCCATGATTCCAATTGCATGAAGGCCTTCCTGATTACAACTCTGCATGCTTGAGAAATGTTTGCATGCTCCTCCCTACTCATCTACCCAAGTTTTCATTTTTCATTTTTAATCTTCCTTTTTATGTTTAAGCTTACCAAAGATTTCTCTGTTAACCAAGCTGATCACCTATCATATTTGCTATTCTTTCTGCACATGGTCCTCTTACATTGTAGAAAGGTACATAGACAGAGGTGTGTGAGGTAGCTTGCACTGCTCCTTTCCTCATATGCGCCACTGGCAACCAAGAACTGCAACTCCGACTGTTGTTCTTAGGGCTGCTTTATTAGCCTTATGACACCTGGGCTCACCTAGATCAGTAGAAATTGAAGGTACCTGGAAATCAGTACATCAAAGGATTTGTCCCAGAGTTCATAAAAGTGTCAGTAAGTAAATTAAAGTTCTAACAGTGTCTTAAATCATTGAGAATTTGATCTGTGAAAGTAGAACATTATATCACGTTGCTTATAATCAGCATTCTGTTTACAGAAGGTGGGGTAACATGCTGTTTACAGAAGGTGGCAAGAATATCAAATATGGCAGGTGGCCATATGCCATATTAATATTCATTAATATTTCAATAAGTAAATGATTGCTACAAAGCCCACGATAAAAATAAAGGAGAGACAGTCATCAATATAATTGATTGTATTTGGATGAAGCAAATTATTTATATGTTCTTTTATTGAATCTAACTTCTAAAGCATTTTCAGCCTTCACATCATTTAAATGACTTGTACTGGTGAACACTTTAACGCCAGCTGGTCTGTAGAGTGAAGGTGATAGAACATTGCTATCCTCAATTTAGGCAATTTAAAAAGAGAATATTTCACTGAAGATAATTTTACACCTCACCTTACGAAGCTCACTTCTTTTCCTTCAACACCTCCAGTGTGAATCAGCTGCAACTCCAGAAAATACCTACTTTTTTTCATCAAATATGAATTAATTTATAACAATACGTGCATACACACACACGCGCCTTTATACACTAGAACTCATTGTTTAGTGCTTAGCTCAACAAATAAACAATGCTTGCAACATTCTGCGTTGTGACTGCTACAAAAAGTCATAGATCTGGATTCTACTTGTTCAATAGAAAGAATTGCGAAAAGTTGCAGAAACATTTTTGGCCAAGATTTACAGTTGCATACTATAGAAAAGCTCTTTAGAAACAGAGACTTCACAAATAATTTTCAACAAGTACTCATGCAGTTCTTTGCTTAATTCGAGAAGTAAAAAATGGGGAAAATTGTAATTGTTAATTACAAGCATAAAGGCAGATGAGAGCTCCTTCCTATTCCAGACTTGGCAAATGTTAGCTTTTTAAAATTGACTTTTCCTTTTTTCAAATTTGGAAACAAAAAATCCTTCCTGAATTGAGATGTCTTCCCACAGGTTGCAACTCTATAGCTAATTTTTATAGCATATTGTTTAGTGGTGGAAAGTGTATTAAATAAATTCAGAGAAGCACCTTCCTGGACATTTATTCAGAGTATTTCACTACTTCCAGTAACTCTCTCCCCTCTTCACCATGTCCCATGTCTTCTACCTTCCAATGTTCCATTTCCCAATCCTGCTTTCCTCTCTAGTTACCACTTTCTTCTGTATGACCACAAATAGATCCTTGATATACAATAGGCTCCACCATGACCAAATCAGTGTTTCTAATTTTAAATGGATTTTTGTGCTCCCTTTCCATATTCCCAGGAGCAGGGTTGGCAACAGACTTCTCTGGGCCCTAGACAATTTAGGGGAAGGCTTGGCTCTGGGCCTCCTGGAAGAGGGTAGGAGCAAAAGAGGGGGCCTCAAGCAAAAGAGAAGAGGGTAGGAGATAGCCTCCTCCTTGGACAGCACTCAATGCCTCCTGGACTGTGCCACATGGGGATCCAGAGGTGATTTAAAGGTCCCAGAGACCCAGGCCCCTTTAAATCTCCATGTTCCAAGCCAACTGCTCCTTTTACTCCCCATCATTGGAAAAAGCCATCCCTAGGGGTGTTCAGTGCCCCAGACATAGGTGCCAAGTTTAATCTGCTGGAAGAGGGGCTCCTCAGTAGCTCCATCCAAGGCTCCTGCCATTGTTCAGGAGGTATTGGGAGGAGGGAGAGGTTCTGATAGTATAATTGCCAGTGGCTATCAATCAGTACTCCAGCCCTGAAGTGTGCCCCCCTCCCCAAAGTGCAGGACCCAGGGCAGTCACCCCAATTTACTGTGCACAAGGGACAGCTGGTCCAGGAAGCTTCCTGATATTTCTTAAAAACTAATGTAAAGAGCAGCATCCGGAGAAAGCAATTTTTAGTGCACAATGTGTTTTACTGGTTCCACAAAATACAGGAAGTTAAACTTTTAACGATAGATAGATAGATAGATAGATAGATAGATAGATAGATAGATAGATAGATAGATAGATAGATATTATTTTGGCTGTGTCTAAACTATACAGTTCTATTGGGAAAAGATATGCAATTTGCATATCTTTTTCCGATTCTTTTTTCGGAAGAGGCTTTTCCGACATTTAGCCCATCCAGGGATGCTGAAAAAACACATCTACTTTTCTGAAATTTTCTTCTGGAAAAGCAGACGCATTCCTTGGAAAAACTCTGCAGTCTAGACATAGCCTTTGATACCATCCCCAAAACCCGCTTTAATCCTCTCAAACTTCCAGACCTTCCCCAACCATCACTATGCCACCTGCATGTTCTGGTACTCATACATACAATGGTACTATCTCATCAAAATGTCTTATATTTACCATTTTCTCTGGATGTCTGCCCTATTAAAATCTAATTCTCTTCAGCTTCTCTGGTTCACAGTTCACTACACTCTGCAGAAAGCCTGCATTTCATATTCTTTGAAAAACACTGATGAGCCAACTGCTGTCTGTCCTCCTTTGCTCCTGACATGATTTTAGTTCAAAGCGGTTTAACTTTTGGATGAAAGTTCATGTAATATTATTTTATGCAAATGTTTTTAGTTCATCCCTGTCTATACTTATAATAATGGAAACACAACTTTCGTGGCATAAAAGCCATCACCTCAATAATATGAATTCTTAAAACAGGATTTAAAAAAAATAAAAAATGAATAAATTTTCAATGCTCCATATGTGATAGAAATAGCCAAGGCTAAACTTTAAGAGTAGAAATACTGTTAGATGGAGTACAGTAAAGTTCAAAAATTACCAACATGTAGTATCTGGTGACCAAGAATAATGGTTGCAACAACAGAATGTGGCTTGCTCTCTAACAATGTACACAGCTCTGAAATCCAAAACTGTTCCAAAATAACATTAGTGGTTTAGCTGCATTAGCAGGCTAACTTACCGGTGCTTATTTTCTTTATCATATTTACTATTTGGTAGAGTTAATGCAAAACATTACTCACTCAGTGGGGGATGTTGGCTGATGGAGAAACTTGGAAAGTCTAGTGATTACAATGTGGAATCAGGAATGCATGGTGCACAGACAGAAAAAGAAAAATAATGTAGTTTATATACAAATAGTAGCATCAGTCCAGTGTAAACTTACTGTTACTCATTTCAGATGACCCAGAGTCAACATTTTACTTTTGCTACATTAATTGTAGAGTGGGTCAGAGAAAATGGTGACACAATACTTCCAACAGATGGCAGACTTGCCAGGCTCCCTGAAGAGGTGTGGCCTCAACAGAAGGAGCAGGGCTGGGAGCTATCCTCCCCCCCACACCAAACCTTCAGTGCTTCTGGAAACATGCCACCTGGGGCTCTGTCAGCAATTTAAAGGGCAGTTGCAGTAGCAGTGGCCAAAAGCACCAAGCCCTTTTAAATCACTGGCCCCCAGAACAGTTGCCCTCTTTGCCCCCCTGTTGCTGGGCCTGAACACATGAAAGATCCAGAATACAAATGACAGGGAGGAAACTTTCTCCGCTCTCTTCCAGATAAGACATTTTCCTTATGCACAGCTTTGCTACTCTCCCAGATGGCCTACTGGCAGGTGCATCTTTAACTACATTTAGTCTGATGAAGGCCAATATGCTTCATATTCTCATATGTGGGAAGATTTGCTGCAGTGGTGTTTCATTTGATAAAATTACCTGATTTCAGCACTCTGTACTTAGAATGATAGGTGTGGAAGAGACCTCAGGAGGTCACTGAATCCAACCCCTTGCTAAAAGCAGGACTGATCCCAACTAAATCAACCCAGCCGGAGCTTTGTTAAGCCAGGACTTAAAAACTTCTAAAGATGGAGATTCCGCCACCTACCTAGGTAACCCATTCCAGTGCTTCACCACCCTTCTAGTGAAATAGTTTTTCCTAATATCCAGCTTCTCATATTTAGACCCATATTATGGCAGCCATTTTCCATGTGACTTAAATGAATGAAGAACACAAAAGAAAGGAGAATTAATAGGAGGCAGGTTGAAGTGTTAGGAAACAAGTACCTCTTCTATATGTCTTACACATTCGGGCTTGAGTGCTTACTCTCCTTCACTAGTTCCTTAGTGTAGATGTTTCTTTCAGCTCTAGGAACAGGCTTTTCAAGAATTGGCTGCAGTAGCATAAATAAATCCGGAAAGTTAATCTGAGAGAAAAAACAGACAAGCTGTCATTTGCTGAGTGATAAGTAAAACTGGGAGAATAAAAACCTTAGAGACAAGGCACGATAAAGCTGTCAACTGCCACTCCAGAACAGCAACTGTAGTAGTCATGAGAGCAGCCATGACAGTTAATATCTGTATCAGATTGTGAAAGACCATTCACATACTGATGGTTTGAAGATCAGCCAAATGCAAGACATCAGCTAGTCTGAGTATTTAAAGAAACTGGGTGTGGTTGGAATACAGCAAGGCCTAGGGTCTGTTACAATGATATATACCACAGGACTGAATTTAAAGAAAGGCAGAAACTAAGAGTTGGGTCTGATGTAAGGTGAGATTCAAAAGGAGGTTTTGAAGGACCCCAGTCTGTGAACCTGCCCCCTAGTTTCCAATGAGAATGATGGGAAATCCAAGACATCAGGCAAAACTGGGTGAAATCACACAAGATTGGGAATATTGAGAATAAGTGTAGAGGCTTCACCCTGTGAGGCCTTAAAAAAACTTTCCCCATATAATGAGGAGATTAGACAGTCCAGCATCTGGTTGCTAAGCCATCTTTCTTTCTGTACTGAAGTTGTGATAGGAATGTTGTTCAATATTTCTCTGTTGCAAATTTTATAAAGAAAATGTTCTAAATATCAGGAGAGTCTTGTGTTACCTCCTGTCTCTGTGAATGCTTCCATACTGTAAATGTGGCCCTCTGACAGGGGTTTCTGAGCAACAGCAGCTCCATGATATACATCCTCTGTAACACCAACACTTCATTAAAAATGGTGAAGTAGTAAATTTTGGGATTTTGCAGGTCAACTTCCTCTTTGAGATATTGGAGAGTTAAATATTTTCTAGCATAACTCATATGTACAGTTGTATATTTGTGGTTCCATGTAAATAGGATTGGTGTACCACCAATAATGCCAATTCCTTTCTTGCAGAAACCTCAGTGAAGGCTTGGAAGCTGCTCTTTTACGCTTGTCTCTCTTGGACTGTGTGGACGAGTCACAGGGTGCAATCACCGCCTACCGGTCAGGTAGGGGGGCTCAGTGAACTCCTTCATACCCTGGTCAGGTCCCTAACCAATATTCCTGGTCCCGGGACCAGTAGGTGGGTGTGATCACCCCCTCTCTGTGGAATACAGGGAGGGGGGGATTCAGCGGACCCGCCATCTATGTCCTGGCTTAGCAGGGGGGCCCAGTGCCCCAAGTTTGGCCTCTCCGAGAGGCTAGCCTGGCCAGCCCTCTCCTGGGCATCTGGCTGGTGCAACAACACGTTTGCGTGCGTTCCGAGATGGAGGGGGTTGTGAGGTAAAGAGGTAGTGGGAAGGGGACCTGGGCCCGCCCTCTCTCTGGGTCCCAGCACGGGGCCCTAAGTGCAGGGGCTCACCATCGCCCCTGCACGGCTGACGTGTGGGTCACTCCCGTAACACGGCTGCCCACGGGCAACACAAGGACCCCACCCCGGGCTGCTTCCTCCCTATCTCTCGACCCCGGGGCCCGCCTGCTAGCCCCTGTGCCTACCGGGAGTTTGCTGCTCAGTGCTTGGGGCACTCCGCGGATGGTTCTCCTGGAAATCCGTTCCCTCTTGCCTTGTCCCGGCCAAGTCGCTCCCTTCGTGGACGGCAAGGGTTGTCCTGCTCGACCTCAGGTCCTGGGCTGGCCGTCCGCCGGCTGCGGGGGCCGTCCCAGGGGCCCCTGGGCTGGGGCCGGGCCACCTGCCGGTCTCGGGAATGCACCCGGTCTGTCCTTTGCCCCGGTCCTCCTCTACTTGCTATGGAGGAGGTTGCCCTCCTCCTCTATGCCGGCGGGTACTTTTGAAAGGGCCCACCGGTTCTGACGCGGTCTGAAGGTCCCGCCCCCCCCGGTGACATGGCGGCTTCCCCGGCCACGTCCCCGCTGCCACTTACGGCGCCAGCCCCGCCTTGCACCACGCTGTGGGAGGGGCCTGCGGCCTCCCTATGGTGCAGGCACAGTGGCAGGTTTTGGCCCCGCCATCATTCTCCGGCAGCCCCGGGGCGCGAGGGTGTTCGGCCCGTGGCCCCGCTCATTGCCCGGCGGTCCTGGCTGTCCAGCGTGCGGGCCATTGGCAGGCCGTCACAGACTGATTAATACAATCTTCATTTTCCCTGCTTACCCCTAGAAACCTAATGTAAAACTGCTCACTCAGGACCATGTAGTCTTAAAAGGTGGCCTGGCTATTAACCCTTCTTTTGTGCAGAAGTTCTATTGTACAAACAAACCTCAGGCAGCCCATCCCAATAAAAGGAAGGGCTTTCACCCACACAACTCCCTTCATAATAGAGAGTGGGATAGAGAGTACGCTTATTAAGTTTGCAGATGACACCAAACTGGGAGGGGTTGCGACTTCTTTGGAGGATAGGGACATAATTCAAAATGACCTTAGCAAGTTAGAGAAATGGTCAGAGGTAAACAGGATGAGGTTTAATAAAGAGAAATGCAAAGTGCTCCACTTAGGAAGGAACAATCAGTTCCATACATACAAGATGGGAAGCGACTGTCTCGGAAGGAGCATGGCGGAAAGGGATCTAGGGGTCATAGTGGACCACAAGTTGAATATGAGTCAACAGTGTGATGCTGTTGCAAAAAAAGCAAATATGATTCTAGGTTGTATCAACAGGTGTGTTGTAAGCAAAACTCGTGAAGTCATTCTGCCGCTCTACTCTGCACTAGTTAGGCCTCAGCTGGAGTACTGTGTCCAGTTCTGGGCGCCACATTTCAAGAAAGATGTGGAGAAATTGGAAAGGGTACAGAGAAGAGCGACAAGAATGATTAAAGGTCTAGAGAACATGACCTATGAAGCCAGGCTTCATGAACTGGGCTTGTTTAGTTTGGAAAAAAGAAGATTAAGGGGGGACATGATAGCGGTTTTCAAATATCTAAAAGGGTGTCACAAGGAGGAAGGAGAAAATTTGTTCCTCTTGGTTTCTGAGGACAGGACAAGGAGTAATGGGCTTAAAGTGCAGCAGGGGAGGTTTAGATTGGACATTAGGAAAAAATTCCTAACTGTCAGGGTGGTCAAATATTGGAATAAATTGCCAAGGGAGGTGGTGGAATCTCCCTCTCTGGAGATATTTAAGAACAGGTTAGATAGACATCTGTCAGGGATGGTGTAGACGGAGCTTGATCCTGCCTTGAGGTCGGGGGGCTGGACTCGATGACCTCTCGAGGTCCCTTCCAGTCCTATTATTCTATGATTCTATGATAATTGCATAGGAGCAATTACTATACAGGATAGCTTTCTCTCTTTCTGTACAGAGTTTAATCTTCGATGTATGCACATTAATAATTTGTAATATTCATGACATTAGTACTTTTTCCAATAGTAGCAGGAGCCAGAAACACTTGTAATAAACATAATGCTAATTTAAAATATAATTGAAAAAATATTCATTGCATATGCATGGTTGCCAATTATCAAACATTATTTCTGCCTTAGCAAAAATCTATTTTTCATTTAGTTCTTCAGAGTCAGGCAGATTGCTCTTTTCCTTCAAAATTCTGTTGATTCCAGAGTTTTAAAGCCAAGTTTTGTACCCATTAAATGCAAACACTGACTATTTCTAATTGTAGCACAGCAAGCAGTTGTTTTATGTAACAAAGTAAATAAGCTTTTCCTTTACCACAGAGAAGGATGGTGCGTGAGACACTGGTAAAGTAAGCACAGCACACTGAACAGTGTGTGAACAACAGTTTGGCTGTGAAAGAGAAAAAGGATCAGTAATGTTCTTAGTTCTGGCTTTGGGGCACAGTGAAAAGGTAGTGGGAGGGGACTATTTCACACAAACTTTCTATTCTCACAGAAAAGCCTATGGTTATGCATGGAACTGAAAGCATTTAAGAAGGAAAAAACAGAAAAAAAGGGAAACATTAAGTGGGCAGATCATCTAGCAGTGCAGATCTATTTTTGCAAAAACCCAAACACAGCTATACATTGATTTTTCTTTGAAACTTTTAGACCACCATTCCTTTCTCCTTATCTGCATAATTGACATCTTCATTCAATTTCAACCAGCTGTTATGTGAATTTGTAATCATTTTATTTCTTTCTGGGTAAGGCTTAATCTTTTGAACTCAAGGAATAATTATTATTGCAAAGTAGTTTTCAGTTTCCAAAGAGAATGCTTTAAGGTCACCACTGCTTCTAGTTTCTCTGGGAAGGAGGACAATAAAGTATTTGTTGATGCTGAAATGTTGTCAGTTCCAAGGACATTGGCTCTCTCTCTCTGCACTATGTTCAGCATATTGAAGCGAGTTATATGAACCACATCAAAAAGCTTTAAACTACTAGTATTTTGCTGCTTTTTAGTATCCACAAGCTAACTTAGATCACTCTAGACTAGGAAATTTATCTATATTTTTGGGCAACTTCCTAAAAGCATAAGATGACCCTCAAATAATTTTGGAGTTTATTCTTCTTCCTTTTTCTCTTATTTGTTATATTTTACAATATTCATCTTAGCACTGCACGCAGTATATATTAAAAAAGGATGGAAGTGTGATTTTCATATTCATTTTCCAACAGGGGATCTGATAAGTACCAACACAAGATTTCTAAAAAGTATCCCTTCTGCATTTACTTAGTGGATCAAGAGGTGAATTATTCACAGTGGCAATGCCTTTGAAGTTCAAAGTTTAATTTTTCTTGGAACAAGGATTTAAATATTAAAGTTTACCAACTGGAAAGAACTGAGCTCTAAAGAAGCTTTTGCAACATTTGTTGCGACATTTTTGAAATTTTAAAACTATCAACTTTAGAAATGAAGAACAAACAAAAAAGAAACTACAATCAAGTTGAAAAACATGATGGAGCATAGTGAAAATTCTATAAATAACAAAGCAAGGGGAGGAATCCATTCCTGCAGCAGGACTGCATTTGTTTGGTATTATGTCACTCTTTCATCTCTCCTACAGTGGGGGGGATTGCAGAACCAATCTGGCCTCTGTTGCCCCAGGAGGTATAGAGGCAGATGGGAATAACCAAGGTTTAAAAACCTCCTACCATATCCAAACATGGAATGGTCCTTGCATCAGTGTCTCCTGCAGATCTAGTACAGAATTAATTACAGAAACTTGCCTACATTAGGGGAAAATCATTTGGGCAAGAATTTATAGTCCTTTTCTGCTGGTGGAGTTAGCGGACCTGGGACTGCTGGGCAACCATGACCTCGGCTCCAGCTACCTAAGGATAAAAAAAGACGGAGGCTTATTAACTGGCATGGATGAATAAATCAATCAATCCAAGAAAGGGAAACACAAGAGAGACTGGTTTTAGTGCTTGATCTTGTTCTTAAAGGCTTTTTCCTTAAATAGGGCTTTCTTTCTGAGGTACTGAAGGTCCTCTTGATACAGGAAAGTAAACTAAAAGTAAAGCGTTTCCTGGTAATAGAGGAATTTTACCCCCTGTATAGCTCAGGGGTATCTTCTTCTCTGTTGCTTCTGTCTCATTATTCCCAGAACTTGTCAACTACATATGCAGTATTTAGCCCCCTAATTTGAAGAATCACTTTAATGACTTCCTTCAAAGCTTTAATCAATGTTGCTCCATAATTCAGTCAGCATATTTCATTAAGTCAGTTGCACTAGGACTTTTTGGCATGGTTGGTTACCATGGGGATGAGATGAAGACCATGATAAGTTCTTAGTGCTGCTGCCAGCAGCAGAGCATGCCACAGAATTAGGTTAATTAGTGCCTGATCCAACATCTGTTAAAGCCAATGACTCCCACTGACTTCAATAGGCATTAGGGAAGGCCTTGATGAATAATTCCCTCAATAAATGTGGCTTCTACATTTATGTGTGGCATGTCCAAAAATGGATCAACATTTTATTTTATTCTATTTTATTCATTAATCCAATTTAATTGAAATTGTGATTTCTTTTTCAAACCTGAAGATTTCCAACAAAGAGTTGTACGAGAATTTGATAATCAGTGTTCAAAACATAACCTGTTAGCTGTGACTGGTAGTATAAATTATATGATACCTCTTCTCTTTCCATGAGCAAAACCCTTCAAATCAAGGAGGATGATCTGATTCTGAACTGGAGCTCTGAGGCTGTCAAGGAGAGGCAGTTGCTAAGTATAACTTGGAAATTTTATTTTATTTTAATTATTATTTACTAATTTTTCTGATCATCATGCTAGAAGATTTAAGCTACTGTAAAATGTATTGGATGGATGAAGAGGTTACATTTAATTTTCTTATATTAGACTGTGAATTCGATAGCTATGTATAGACTATGTAGAATTTTTGAAAGAGGAAATTTGCATATCTTCTTCCAATCTCACTTTCAAAAGAGGATCTTTCAAAAGTGAAAGTAGTCTGGACATGGGGTTTTAAACAAAACACACCCTTTAAAAAAAAAAACCGCGTAAACCTCCTTTTTTAAAGAACAGGTTTTTTTGAAAAGGAAGTTTTTTTCCAAAAAAATGCATCCAGACTACTTTTACTTTCTAAATATCCTCTTTTAAAAGTGAGATCAGAAGAAGATATGCAAATTTCCACTGAATTTGCATATCCTCTTTCAAAAAAAACCCCATAGTTTAGATGTGCCCTTAGTCTCATTGCAAAGGGTTTGGTCAAATATTTAGCTATTTAATGTAAGTCTCTCCGGGTATGTCTAC